GCCAGCGCGCCTGCCTGCGCGCCAGCGCGCCAGCGCGCCTGCCTGCGGACTATGAAAGCAGCCAATGCTCGCGTGTTAACATTGAAAATTTGTGCTTCTTCGACGAGAACGCATTGTTTTGTCTTTGATGCTGTGGAGGTGGTTTTCATGCAAGTTATTGCTTCAACATTGTCTTCATCATCGTCGTCTTCGTTCGGTGTAGAAGAGACGAAATGTTGTCTTGTTTTCCTCTGCGCGGGAGGCTTAGGGTATTCAGCTGCTGTGGCTGGTTTCCTTTGAGAATGCATTGGTCTTTGTACTGTTGAACGAATTGTTTTTGGGCATATTGACGTGTGATGCCCTATCTGGTGACACAATCGACAAGCGCCTTTCGTGCAAGCGCTAGCGATGTGGTTTGTTCCTCCATAGTTCATACGAAGAGAGAACCGTTTCATGTGTTCGAGCCTTTGCCCTTGAGTACCGAACTCTAGACAGTCCTTTGGTGAATGTTCATTACGTTTGCAATAGAAGCACGTATGAATTGCTTCTTTACAGATAGGTATATCGGTCGTTTTCTTGACAATGTTGTTTTGTGAAGGTTTACATGGCTGTTTTTGGCTTTGCTCTTGAAGATAATGCTTTATCTGAACCTCGGTATCGAGAAAGTCGCTGGTATGGGAGAGTAGCATTTCAGTAGTCCACGGTTCGCTAGCGGTCTGTTCGTGCTTTTTCCTTAAAACGTGACGTTGCACGCGTTCACTGAATTTGGATAGGATTTGTTTCTGTAGGACAACGGTGTCCAGGCGCTCTCCTTCGAGGGCCATCTGATTGAGGATTAAAGAAATCTCCCCATAAAGCGTAGTTTGATCTTCAACGCGAGTGGTACTAGCACGACATCCTTCAAGTTGCCTAGCCAATTCTTCGAGCAGTAGCTGAAGATTGCCAAACCTTCTTTTTAAATGGGCGATGGCCATTGTGTACGTTGATCCACTGATTTGAAATCGTTTGACTGACTTTTTCGCTTCCCCC